CCCCCCCCCCCCCCAAACAGGAAGCGCAGATCGGCCGTTGGAATGTGCGGGAAGACCGCATTTTTCTCAACCCTTCCTATTGTATTGGACTTGTCCAGCCGACCTTGAGTCCAGCCAGACTGCTCCGAAAATATTGATGAAGAAGCAATGGAACAATGGATTAACGAAGATTCGACATTGGAATGTTGCGAAGTTTCAAGTGACGATGATATTGTGTCTCGTGTAACTTGTGGTCCAGAAGAAACAAGGAATTTCGAATAATTTCCCGAAAGTGATGAGGTAAATCTTGCAACTCATCAAAAATTAAGTCACGGTGACGCATTAGTACACACTGAGGCATCACTTAATTGGTTGGAGCAAGAAGATGAAAGCACGCCTGCAGCAAAAATAATATTGAGAAATCTGCGTAGAATAATTCGTCGAAGAGTATATGAAAAGAAAAACAGACTTCTATCATTTCATTTTTCGCAAAACGGCGAGGTAAACTACATCTCTGTTTGTCTTTTTAATTGTACGAATTGTAAATCTAAATAGCATTAAAATTTCTTGTTAATTCTTATTCTTTTGTATTAATGAAACTATTACTGTCTTATTGTATAATAATTTTGCATTTTCTATCATTTTTCCAAAATTTTTCATAAAAATTTGCATAAATTGGATTATCCGGTATATTCGCTTATCCGGGACGAAGCATTTCCCGACCATCCCTGTTAATCGAGTCTAAGTACCTCCGGGAAATAAAGGCTTAAACAACTAATGTGGATAGCTTAATAGCTCTAGTGCGGCTACGAAAAGATTTTTTATTTCATTATCGCTTTATTTCCCATTATTTTGATGAGGACGAATTGCATTACTTTGTTTTGCATTAAGCTAGATCATCATACTTAAATCAATAGGAATAGTATCGAAAATATGCGATTTCGATGGAAAACTTAGAGCGATCTGAGGCTAATGTTTTTCTCATTGCTGATTCTCATTACTGATACTCATTCTTATACTCAGTAGAAAGGCTGGTCCTGGGATTCTAATAGTTTATATAATATTAAAGAACACGAAGGAACCGAAATTTGTTTTGTCATTGTAAGGAGTTTTTTTTATTTTTATCTCAAAGATTAAAAGTAGTGTCTTAGTCTTTCATAAAAATTAATAGAAAGTGTTTCTATTTTCAACTAATAATTTGAAAATTAAGAAAAAATATAAACCGGAATAAGTTTAGCAAAAAAAGAGGAAAAGGAAAACAACTAAGAATTATTTTTTAAAAAAATTCAATTTATGCCGTTTTTCTGGATTGCTAAAATACTTTTTCAAATATATTAAGCACTTCAAAAAACAAAATAATTTTGCAAAAATTAGATTTATTATTAGATTTATTATTTTGAATCTGTTTTGGAAGCAGAACAATCTATTTCACAAAGGAAAAATTTCAGAACTGATGGCAATTTCTGGAATTCTTTCAAACTTTTAGAATGAATATAATTGTATAGCAGAAAAAAAGGAGCTGTCTCGTGCCTTCATTTTGAAAACTTTTGAAAATTTCCCTTCAAACAAATGACTGGGAAAATAGAGCAATAGGAAAAAAGTGTAGATGAAATTCAATGATTACTTTCGATAGCTGTTTCTTTGTCGCTTATTATCCTTCTTCTATATTTTAACCTTCTTTTTCAATTTTATTAAGATTAAAATTTAAAAATTATAGAAGTTTAATTACAGTAAATATTTATAGACAGTGGCGGTTAGTCGGGAAGGGGGACGGTCGCCCCTACTTTTTGAGGGAAAAATTAAATTTTTATATTATTTTAGCTGCATAAAACTAGGAATTATATATTTAAAAAAGCAATAGTATCCGGGATAGTTAGGTAATTTTGTATTTAAATTTTTACATTTTGTTGTCTACCTCCTTTAATTCTTGGTACTTTTACATGTCTAAAAATTTTTTAACCCCTACCCCAGTTTTTTTACCCAGTCACCGCGATTGCTTATAGATGTATGATTCTAGGCTAGTCCAGTCCGTTCAAAATCAATATAGCAGTGTTTCCCATTTCAAATTTATAATGGAGTCACATGGCAGATGGAATTCCGAATTCCTAACATACTTTTGCCATGTATTACAACATCTTTTTCAAAATGTGTAATGGGTTCCAAAATAAAAATGACGACGACGACTTCCCGACTCATTTACCAAAGTTGCAGTAATTCGCAAGTTTCAACGTACTGCTTGTTAAATCAAGATAATGAGGTGATCAACCGCCCTCCTTTAGCAAGTTCTGACCTTCTTCGGAAACTGTACAATGAATGATGTAACAAATGTTTTTATTACTCATTCATAATATTATAGTGTAGTCTGTATTATTACTGCAATGAAAAATCTTTCTTTAATTTACAATATTTTTTTTTTCTATCTATGTTTATTTTAGTCCTCCTTTTCATTGGGAAAAAAAGTAGGTCATCGTAAGATAAGTAACACAGGATATTGGTTTAAAGTCTAGTCAAGCGATCGCTTCGTAGCCCGGCTAGCTCAGTCGGTAGAGCACGAGACTCTTAATCTCGGGGTCGTGGGTTCGAGCCCCACGTTGGGCGCTGAATTAATTTTTGCAGATTTCAGTAGCTAGAGCGCAAACCTTAATCTAGAGGCTAAAGAACAAATGACAATGAAGGTCGCCCAAGGGAAGTAGAAGAATTTAATTTTCGATGTTTTCAGCTGACCAGCAGCACTTATTTCACATTTTTGAACCGATATTATCTAATGTACTTTCCATATAGCAGATTTTAACGATAGAGACAACAAAAAAATCTCAGCATCAAGGATTTTAGTTGCTGGATAAATCTCAAAGGGAGAAAATTTGCATCTTTCGTATGCATACAGCAAAGATCTCAATACAAGCAAAGATCTTGCATAAATAAAAATTCTGTTGAGTGTTTTATTCCAATTCACTTCCTCCTCAGGCCATGATCAATTTTGTTAGATTTATGCTATAACTTATTTCTCGGCAGGAGATGTGTTCCCATGTGTAGTGGTGATCACCTACGTCTAACACGCAGAAGGTCCCATGTTCGAAACCTGGTGGGTACAGCGGAAGTCAATTTTTACCAACATTTCAATCTTCTTATTCATAGGTTGTTTTTTCAGTTGGGACTATTAAATATCCTCTTTTGGAATACAGAGGTTCGTAATCAGTTGCGGAGAATCGAGGGACATACAATCGTCCGAACTCACATTTTACAGTGAAGATTCGGTAACGAGGACATTTAGGGGACCGTCCACAAATTGATGAAGACGAAAATTATTTTGGACCACCCCGCTTCACGGAAAGCTGATAATGAGTTGAAACTTCAGTCAATAGTTGTGCTTGATGCAAATAATACTTACAGATATTTTCTTAAAAATAGAGATTAGAATGATAGAATGATATTCGAGAATATATAAAGGTTTCTTTAAAAAAAATCCCTAATTTTTCCGCTTGTTTTTTGCTTATAACAGAGTGCAGAGGTTTCAACGAAATTATACGAAAATTACAGAATATTTGTAAATATGTAAAAGAAGCATTGTATCAAAATTTGAATAGTAGAGAAAAAAAAGATTACTTGCAGTAAATAATATTTTAATAAATTGGTCTAATGGTGTGTCGGGAAAGGAAAAAATTATAAAGCTTTTCGCGCTAAAGTATATACTAAGTCGCGCTTATAGTTCCGCAACCAAATAACATAGAGAGTTGGTTTTAGTTTCATTTGACAGAGAAAGATAGACATTGAAGATCGCAAAAAGAATTTTAGAATTTGGAATTCCGGTTTAGGCACAGTCGAGCTGCAAAGTTGGTGTAAATCACGAAAAATTTTGATAACGTCACAGAGGCCGCTGCTCGCGCCCTCAGACTAAGGCAATTCATTCATCGATCACTCGAAATATTACTCAAAAATTGTTGAACTACGTAGAAATTCGCGCTAAAGGTGAACGCTTATAGTTTCGCAACCAAATAACATAGATAGTTGATTTTAGTTTGATTTAACAGAGAAAGGTAGACACTAAAGATTGCAAGACTAATTTTAGAATTTGTATTTACGGTTTAGTCACAGTCGAGTTGGAAATTTGGTGAAATTTACGAAGAATTTTACATAGATAGAGTTACATAGTCATAGTAGACTAATAATCACTATAGAGTTAATAGTCACATAGAGCTCCTTTAGTCACAGAAAGTCACAGTTAGGTAAGGTAAGTAAGTCTAAGCCCCTCAATCCCAGCGGCCGTTTCGAAGAGTCAGCCTCCCTTCGATTTTTTTATTCTGTATTTTCCTATTTACAAAAGAATATTTTCCTAAAATATTTTGTAAACAGGACGCGCTTACAGGCTTCTAGGAATAGTCTTAAAAATCCCATCAATCCTGTCGTTTTTCTTTGGAAACTTTTTTGGAAACTTCTTTGCGTTTACTGAAAACTAAAATTTCTTCTATCAATGGCGTCTCGTTTCATTAGAGAACTAAACAGCTGTAGAGCGGTAAAATATTTCAAATCTAAATAGCAATATTTAGGAAATCTTTTTCAGCCATGTCTAATCAGCAAATGTAGCGATAAGATTACATTAAACGACTGTGTTACACATTTAAAATAAAGAAGAAAAAAAAAACTACGTTGGCCCATGGGGGGATCGAACCCACGACCTTCGCGTTATTAGCACGACGCTCTAACCAACTGAGCTAATGGGCCGTGCAGCCTACGGTGAAGGAAAGATTAGAAATCAAGTTTCATCGGTTAGAACAGGTGAACTCGATTTTTCTTTAATATCCGAATATCTGTTGGCAATACGGAAACAAACTATACTGGCGTGCGATTTACCGTCTAATTTCAAATAAAAGTCAGGAAGCTTCGGATTATATGGCGGAATAAACATTTCGGAAGGTGAACAAACACTAAGGGAAAAAAATAAAGGTTGGATCAGCCGGGAATCGAACCCGGGCCGCCCGCGTCGCAAGCAGGCAAACATTCTACCACTGACCCACCTGAGTTGTTTAATATCACATAAAAAGATGGATTATTTAATGGAAAATATCTTTCGTTTTTTTCTTTCCAGCTGGAAAATAGCATGTCTATTGTCAGGCTGGCCAACAAATGATCTCATAATAAATTTTGAATTGTTACCTGTGTTTAAATCTATCCGTAAATGTATTATTAAGCATGTTAACCCTCCAGCAGACGCGCGGATGCAGGAGATACTTATATTGTGCATCGTATTACATACTCATATCGTTCTTTTACAAATTTAAGTACAATTTTTATTTATATAATCTTTGTTTAGTGTAAAGCTAATAAATACAGATTGCATAAATAAAGTTGTATTTATTTTTGTGAAACAACACGATATAAACATGCAATATGATGCACGCTATAAGTATCTCCTGCGTACGCTCGCCCGCTGGAAGGTTAATGAATTATTGATGTTTAAAATGTAAATTAATGTATAATGCTGGAAAGGTTTTTTCCTTTCTTTTAGTACAATTTAAATGTTTCGTTAACTTAGAAAAAAAATGCATTTTTTAAATACCAAATTTGTTTATATATGGCTTTGTTATGTTTGGTTATGTATGTGAATATGTAAGTGTATTGATAATGGAGGAACACATTAAGCTTGTTGCGGTCCCCACATGCTGAATTTCTTGGGGGCCCTCTGAAAATATCACACATATGTACCTTTTTACATTTCGACTAGGGATGGCCGTTATTGCAAAAAAACCGGTTTGCGGCTAAACCGGGTTTTTTCACCTCCGGTTTAACCTTGCGGTTAAAACCGCTCAAAATAACCGGTTTCTGAAAAAACCGGTTTTTGGTTGTTTTTTTAAAGCAACGTTTGTGGACAAAATTTTTTGTTAATAATAATATACACTAAGTAAGTATTAATACAATAATTAATTAATGTAATAAGTAATGATTATAAATAAGTAATTAATACAATGTGTAATAATAATAAATAAGTAATTACTGCAATAAGTAAGTATTATAGACAAAAATTTTTATCTACATTGTTTCCACAAGAAATTAATTCGTTGGCCAATATTTATCATCTAATCCGCTCATAAAGATTCTTTCAGCGATGTGTTGATCGTGAGTCGACACCTCTGATCGGAAACAACATCATTCAACGTAGATACTAATCTTTCGGCCGCCACAGAACCTCCGAATAAAGATAAATATTTTTTGGCTACAAAAAACAAACAAAATTTTTTATTAGTGTTATTTTTGAAGGAAATCAATCCATTGGCCAATATTTATATATTCATAAAGACTCTTTCAGTAATCCGCCTACCAACAGCCGCCTGGAGGAAGCGGTTGTCGGTGATTGGCCTAGATGATGAAATTCAAAGCTTTATAACTTGTTAAATTTTAGTCTAGTCGAACCTAAAATCGAGCCTTTCTTCCGACCCGGCTTATTTCCCCGGTTTTTGGGTTTTAAAAAAATAACAGGTTTAAATCGGAGCAAAAAATAACCGAAAAAAAAAACCGGTTAACGGATACAAAAAAAAATCGGTAGGTTTTTCCCATCCCTAATTATGACTTATCAATTATTAGGTTTTAAAATAATTTGCATACTTTTAATGATGATAACTACATTTTTACTACTAATAATTATATTTTATAATTGCTAAATTATGTAACTTTATAATTGGTATATTTAATCTATTAATTACATATTAATTAATCATAATTAAAATATTTTAATTTGGAATAAGTATATCATAAGCATTATCGAAATAACTTCAAAATCCATTGAGTAAAAGAAAATGCAAAATTGCTTTTGATATGACTACTAAATGCATCCCTATTAATTTCTTATATCATAAATGGGGCTTAAAGCTCGAAAAAGAATTAATTTAAGGCTAAATACTGAAATATTATATTGAGAAAATGAACATTAGGTTATATTTAATGTTAAGTTTTCAAGCCAACATATAAATTTTGCTCATTTTCATTTTTTTAAATTCCTTCTTTTATTATCTGGGTATTGGTTAAGAAAAATAATGAAAAAGAATTCTTTCATCCTCCCCCCCCAAGAAAAACCAGTCTTTCGATTCATTCTTTCCTTCAAACTGCTGATTCAATTTTTGATTTCATTTTAATTTCCTTCAGAAACACATGTGGCTCTCGAGTCACAGTTTGCCGACCCTCGATCTGAAATACTCTTGATGAAGAATATGAAATATGTGTTGTTAAACTATTTAATCTAAGAAGTAACTCATCCACTTGAAAATGAGACCTGCTTTAAAGTACTTTCGGAAGAACACTTCGCTCATCTTGGATAATGAAATAAATCACAGGAAGATAGCAATTTCAAACGAACTA